GGGTTGAGCTTTGGCTCTTTGGTCCCGCCTCTCAACTGTCAATCAACTGGTGTACAGATTCCTGAGCCTACTGGGCTCTATCATATCTACATTTAAAACTGTGTATGGAGTCAGCCTCCACCACATCACTGCCTAATGCATTCCATCCGTTAACTACTCTGACACTAAAAAAGTTCCTTCTAACGTCTGTGTGTGTGTGTGTGTGTGAGCTCTTGGTCCCCGCCTTTCTAACTGACGGTTGTCTAATTTACTGACTCCCGACCTATTTTTCTCTATCAATTCTACTTATCTATTTCATATTATTTCTCTCTCGCACACACACACACATCCCCAAAAAGCAGCCCGTAGCACCTGTCTAACTCTCACGTACCTATTTACTTCTTGCTGAGCAGGTGCATCAGGTGAAAGAAACTCTGCCCATTTGTTTCTGCCTCTGTTGGGAGTCGAACCCGGGCCCTTATGACTACGAACACTAAGCGCTGTAGATTGCGTGTGTATATGTAAAATATTAAGAGAAACATAGACTCACATAACAAAACGCGGCAAGCAATGTCCGTAGACTGGTACAATAATCGATTACATTTTTGAAAATATTGGAGGAGGAATAATATTCTGCGATTCAAAGTCTGCTCTTCAAGCAATCGAAAACTTCTCTTGGAAGATCGACAGCAAGAACCTAATACTCCCAATTATAAATGACCTAATTGCTGCACAGAGTAAAGGGTCTCGAATCTCCTTTGTATGGATACCTTCACACATAAATATAACCCATCATAATGAGACAGACATTGCAGCCAAATTAGCGTGTAACATGTTTGAAGTTGAATTAGATCTAGGTATTCCCCATCTCTGCTGTCAAAACTGTATTGGACATTCAGATCTGATAGGAAAGAACTTACTGACTCCCAACGACCTGAAAGTACTAGTATAAAAAGCTATGATTTGTTCAGATCTGAAACCTACATCTATGGACAGCACAAAACGTCCACTAGACTGTGCGACACAGTGGTTGCCAGGATCAGGTTGGGTTACCGTTACCTGTGGCAGGTGGCTGCAGGTGACGGGTCTCCCAATCCTGAGCACTCCAGTTGCAAACTCTGTGAGCAGGAACTACGGCATGATCTCCCACACTACATCACTGAATGCCCAGTTATTAGACCTTTCAGACCAGTTGGCATGAGGTACCTGGAGCTTTGCAATTTATTCACTCTCGTATTCTTGAAGATATCCTCACAGTATACCCAAAATTTGCCAGTGCAGGCTATTAAACAAATGGCTCTGTATGACTAACCATCCTGCGAGATGGGGACTTGTATTACCACTGCTACCTTATTCAATCTTGTGTTGTTGATATCCTCAAAATGCATCCGGAGTCTGTCAGTGCAGACCGCTTATCACATGCCTCTGTATGACTAACCATCCTGTGTGATGGGGATTTTATAGCATCACCTAGTTAGCTTTTTTGATACACTGTACTCCACTTCATATAGTCTAGGGTAGCTGCACTAATGCAGATGTACCTAATGTATTAATAAAAAAAAGTGAAAATTAGAAACTTAGTTATTGACCATAGAAACTTAGTTATTGACCATAAAAACTTAGTTATTGACCATAGAAACTTAGTTATTGACCATAGAAACTTAGTTATTGACCATAGAAACTTAGTTATTGACCATAGAAACTTAGTTATTGACCATAAAAACTTATTGACCATAAAAACTTATTGACCAAAAAAACTTAGTTATTGACCATAGAAGCTTAGTTATTGACCACACAAACTTAGTTATTGACCATAGAAACTTAGTTATTGACCATAGAAACTTAGTTATTGACCATAGAAACTTAGTTATTGACCATAGAAACTTAGTTATTGACCATAGAAACTTGGTTATTGACCATAGAAACTTGGTTATTGACCATAGAAACTTGGTTATTGACCATAGAAACTTGGTTATTGACCATAGAAACTTAGTTATTGACCATAAAAACTTATTGACCAAAAAACTTAGTTATTGACCATAGAAACTTAGTTATTGACCATAGAAACTTAGTTATTGACCATAGAAACTTAGTTATTGACCATAGAAACTTAGTTATTGACCATAGAAACTTAGTTATTGACCATAAAAACTTATTGACCAAAAAACTTAGTTATTGACCATAGAAGCTTAGTTATTGACCACACAAACTTAGTTATTGACCATAGAAACTTAGTTATTGACCATAGAAACTTAGTTATTGACCATAGAAACTTAGTTATTGTCCATAGAAACTTAGTTATTGACCATAGAAACTTGGTTATTGACCATAGAAACTTGGTTATTGACCATAGAAACTTGGTTATTGACCATAGAAACTTGGTTATTGACCATAGAAACTTAGTTATTGACCATAAAAACTTATTGACCAAAAAACTTAGTTATTGACCATAGAAACTTAGTTATTGACCATAGAAACTTAGTTATTGACCATAGAAACTTAGTTATTGACCATAGAAACTTAGTTATTGACCATAGAAACTTAGTTATTGACCACAGAAACTTAGTTATTGACCACACAAACTTAGCTATTGACCATAGAAACTTAGTTATTGAACATTGTGAACGCAAACTTTGAACAATAAATCTATGCTGTTATATACCAACAAAAAATATATGTAACTAATTATTCTTCCTCAAATAATTCTGGACAAAGCATTACTCCTGCACATCGGAACGTTAACACACACGCAAGCATGCACACATTCAAGCAAACACGAACACACACACACACACACACACACACACACACACACACACACACACACACACACACACACACACGCACACACACACACACACACACACACACACACACACACACACACACACACACACACACACACACACACACACACACACACACACACACACACACACACACACACACACACACACACACACACACACACACACACTCACACACACACACACTCACACACACACACACACACACACACACACACACACACACACACACACACACACACACACACTCACACACACACACACTCACACACACACACACACACACACACACACATATGATTGTGCGAAAAAAACTAGTGGAGCATCTGGAGCGAAGGAACTTTGTAACACAGCATCAACATGGGTTCAGGGATGGCAGGTCCTGCCTCACAGGGTTACTTGAATTCTACGACCAGGCAACAAAAATAAGGCAAGAAAGAGAAGGGTGGGCAGACTGCATATTTTTGGATTGTCAGAAAGCCTTTGATACAGTGCCACACAAGAGGCTAGTGCGAAAGTTGGAGATGCAGGCTGGAGTGAGAGGGAAGGTACTCCGGTGGATAGAGGAATACCTAAGCAACAGGAGACAACGAGTCTGTGTGAGGGGTGAGGTCTCAGATTGGCGAGACGTCACAAGTGGAGTCCCGCAGGGGTCAGTCCTTGGACCTATACTGTTTCTGGTATATGTAAATGATCTCCCAGAGGGTATAGATTCGTTCCTCTCAATGTTTGCCGACGATGCAAAAATTATGAGGAGGATTGAAACAGAGGATGATAGTAGGAGGCTACAAGATGACCTGGATAGACTGAGTGAATGGTCCAACAAATGGCTGTTGAAGTTCAACCCGAGTAAATGCAAAGTAATGAAACTAGGCAGTGGAAACAGGAGGCCAGGCACAGGATACAGAATAGGAGATGAAGTACTTAATGAAACAGACAGAGAGAAAGATCTAGGAGTTGATATCACACCAAACCTGTCTCCTGAAGCCCACATAAAGAGAATAACGTCTGCGGCATATGCGAGGCTGGCTAACATCAGAACGGCGTTCAGGAACCTGTGTAAGGAATCATTCAGAATCTTGTACACCACATATGTAAGACCAATCCTGGAGTATGCGGCCCCAGCATGGAGCCCGTACCTTGTCAAGCACAAGACGAAGCTGGAAAAAGTCCAAAGGTATGCTACTAGACTAGTCCCAGAACTAAGAGGCATGAGTTATGAGGAAAGGCTGCGGGAAATGCACCTCACGACACTGGAAGACAGAAGAGTAAGGGGGGACATGATCACAACCTACAAAATCCTCAGGGGAATCGACCGGGTAAACAAGGACGAACTTTTCAACACTGGTGGGACGCGAACAAGGGGACACAGGTGGAAGCTGAGTACCCAAATGAGCCACAGAGACGTTAGAAAGAACTTTTTCAGTGTCAGAGTAGTTAGCAAATGGAATGCATTAGGAAGTGATGTGGTGGAGGCTGACTCCATTCACAGTTTCAAATGTAGATATGATAGAGCCCAATAGGCTCAGGAATCTGTACACCAGTTGATTGACGGTTGAGAGGCGGGACCAAAGAGCCAGAGCTCAACCCCCGCAAGCACAATTAGGTAAGTACACACACACACACACATAGGGTCATCAGAGACACGGGGACAATCAACTGGTATACACATTCTTGAGCCTACTGGGCTTTGATATAGCTCGGTAGGCTTAAGAATCTGTACACAAGTTGATTGACAGTTGAGAGGCGAAGCTCAACCCCTGCAAGCACAACTAGGTGAGTACACACACACATATTTTATATATATATATATATATATATATATATATATATATATATATATATATATATATATATATATATAATATGAACTACTTGCGAAAGAGTCTAGACATACTGTAAGAAGCCCCCCCCTCGTGGGGGGGGGGGGTCTTCGTGGCTGAGTGGATAGCGCTGGGGGGTCGTAGTCCTAATGGCCTAGGGCCATTTGCGCAGGCCGAAGCAAATGGGCAGAGTTTCTTTCACCTTGGTGCCCCTGTTCACATTGCAGTAAATAGGTACCTGGGAATTAGAGAGCTGCTACGGGCTGCTTCCCGGGGGATATGTGTGTGTGTAAGAGAAATATATGTAGTAGACATAATAGAGGAAAAAAATAGATTGGTTAGAAAGGCGGGGTCCAGGAGCTAATAAGTCGATTCTGCAGGAACTGTGTCAATGGTTCTCTCAGCTGGACTGTGTCAATGGTTCTCTCAGCTGGACTGTGTCAATGGTTCTCTCAGCTGGACTGTGTCAATGGTTCTCCTAGCTGGACTGTGTCAATGGTTCTCTCAGCTGGACTGTGTCAATGGTTCTATCAGCTGGACTGTGTCAATGGTTCTCTCAGCTGGACTGTGTCAATGGTTCTCTCAGCTGAACTGTGTCAATGGTTCTCTCAGCTGGATTGTGTCAATGGTTCTCTCAGTTGGACTGTGTCAATGGTTCTCTCAGCTGGACTGTGTCAATGGTTCACCCAGCTGGACGTCCGACAATTTTTGAAAGACATTTTTCGGTAACAGCGGCAGATTTAATTTAAACTTTTTGGGCGACCAATCCTTTGTGTGTCTTAAACGCGTTTGGTACTGTTTTTGTGGTGGTGATGGTGGTAGTGATGGTGGTAGTGATGGTGGTGGTGATGGTGGTAGTGATGGTGGTAGTTAATTTCAATACAAACAAGTTCTTCTAACCCCCCTCTAGTGTCCGGCCCCAGACACCCCCACCCCTCCACACACGACAATTAACCTCACAATGTCCTCCCCCGGGAACTCAATCATCTAATATATTTACAACCAGTTCTCCAGTCCCTGTTCAGTCCTTCCTCACGAGCGGTCACAACGTCACCAAACTGATGTTATAAATTACCCGAACCTAACCCAACCGAAGACCCGCTAATAGAAAACGGGACATCACGTCAATTTTTGGTCTTAGGAGGATTTATACGTTATAAATGCGATGTACTATCCAAGAGGATAAAACTATGGATATAACTGTCTTTATCTAAGTCTCTCCACCCTGCCCAAGATTCGAACCCGTTTTCTCTCGCCTGTGAAGACATGGACTCTTGCTAGTGTTTTTACCTATTAAAATTTGTATATAAATAAATATATTTATTTATATAAATTTTATATAAACTAGATATTTTAAAATGTTGGTAGTGAGAGGGAGGGAGTTTATGAGGGGAAAGCGCCAGGCCATTACGACTATATAGCACTGGGAAAGGGTCAGGATTAGGATTTGGGATGGGACGGAGGGAAGGGAATGGTGCCCAAGCACTTGTGGACGGTCGGGGATTGAACGTCGACCTGCATGAAGCGAGACCGTCGCTCTACCGTCCAGCCTAAGTGGTTGGGCTTTGGTAGTGAGAGCTGAAGTGATTTTGGTGATATTGGTGGTGTTGGTGTTGGAGTAGTGGTGTTATTGGTGATTGTAATGTGTTGATTGTAGGAACTGTGTTGGTGATTGTAATGGTGGTTTCGGTGTTGATTATAATAGTGTTGACTGTGCTGATTGTATTGGTAGTAGTGGTAGTGAAGATAGTTAATTGTGGTGACGACAATTGACTGTGGTTGTCGGAGTGGTGCTCTTGTTGTGACGAGAGTGATGATGATTGTGATGGTGAAGATGGTGATAGTGCCGGCGTAGGAGAAGGTTGTAAGGAATCCCCCCCCCCCTCCCCCTCCAACACGCCTCCTCCAACACTAATCAAATGCTGGAGTTACACTATAGCCAATTTGAGGCATGACTAGGTCCCCTTAAACCCCCCCCCCGTCACCATTACCAGCCCCTACCCCCCCCTCACCATAATCTGGGAGGGGAGGGGGCTGTTGTGGTGACGTCTGCCTGGTGACGGACGCTATTGTGCACCAAAAAAGTATATATTCACAAAACACGAAACACATATAATATACATAAAAGTAAACAAAAGCATCGTCGAATTATTTACTCAAATCCAAATTAAAATATCACTCAAGTGGAACTCTAGTTATTATCTGGGACATAACTTGTGTGTGTGTGTGTAGCGTAACTTTAGTGTTCGGTAAACATGATTCGAACAGGGACGTGATTGGCTAATCTGGATATGACGTCACCGGAGGGTGGGGGGTGGGGGGGGGTCCTTCTGCCGTTCGTGAGGATGGGAAATTGATTCGTGTCATGGATAGGCTGCACTCCCGGTGTTCGTGAGCTGCAGGCGGCTCCGTGACGCAATCCGGATTGGACAGAGTAATATCTAGTGGTGGTGATGGAGATTGTGGTGATGGTGGAATTGATTGTGGTGGTGGAAATAGTGGTTGCCTTGCGGTGGAGGATTACCCGGTTCCGTTAACCCGTCAACCCTTCCTCTTACCAATTACGTCGCTGCTCGCTCGAATGAACTACGGCCAAATATCGACGTAATTCAAAATGGAAATTTATTTTCCAATTAACATTTTTTTTTACAAAACTGCAAGTTAACACGTGTGTCTTTTCAATCACCAATTTGTCTAAATGCTAATAACTTCCTTTAACCACCGCACTCAGGTCGCTATAGCAAGCCAAACCGACAATTAGTTTGTGGTTATATGCTCTAATTGGTAATCTCTCAATTGGACGTAAACTAATTGATTTCATACATCAAATAATGTCTAGCTGAGCGCGAGCCAATCAGAACAATGCCAGGTTGAGCACAAACCAATCAACGCACGGTATGTGGAACAGGAACCAATCAATGCACTCCATGCTGAGCAGGAACCAATCAAGGTTCACTATGCTAAGCAGGAACCAATCAATGCACTTCATGGTGAGCAGGAACCAATCAAGGTTCACTATGCTAAGCAGGAGGAACCAATCAATGCACTCCATGGTGAGCAGGAACCAATCAAGGTTCACTATGCTAAGCAGCAGGAACCAATCAACGAACGTTATGTCGAGCTGGAACCAATCACCGCATATCAAGGTCTCGCATGCGTGAAATTCGCCCAACCGTTGATTCGAGATATCCTCAAAATGAAACAGTGAGCATGTCATGTACCCAGCCCGTCCTCGTAAACAAAGGCCAAAGTCCATTCCATGCACCCGCCAAACCCCAAGCCGTTTACGAATGAAAAGCGGTTTACACACGACTCACAACTGATGACGTTCGAACACTTCCGGAACAAGTGCTTCACTGACGACTTTTGTTCGAACCACAACGCTGTAAATGCTTCACCCACGTACTACAAATACAAATGATCGCCAACAGAACCTAAACACCAAACCTATGCCTAACTAAACATAGAACTTTAATATATGATAAGATTTACTTATATATGAGAACAAACGAATTTTTAACACTCAGTTGAAATTTATTAATGTATTTAGGGTGCGGGGTGTACAGCCGCCGCTTTAACGAGCCTGACCTGAGAACGGATTGATACACGTCACATACACGTACGCATCCAGGTACTCACCTAATTATGCTTGCAGGAGTTGGGCTTCGGCTCTTTGGTGTTTGGTGTTCCTGAAGCTATTGGGCACTATTATATCTACATTTGAAACTGTATATGGAGTCTGCCTCCACCACATCATTGCCTAGTGTGTGTGTGCGTGTGAGCGCTCATGTACTTGCTTAATTGTCTTCGGGGAGTGAGTTCCAAGCTGGTTCTGCATACTCTAGGATTGAGCCTTAGCCTACTTCATTAAATATTCAAATACATATAATGAGTGCATGTAGTTAATATCTTGTATTGGCAAGGAGACAGATTTTCATATCACTTAATTTCACGTGTTTTTCTTTTTATTTGTTAAAATGTGTTTTTAATTTACCTCAACTCTCACGTCAACATTATCCAAAAGACGTGAGGATAAAATCTAGTTAAAAATATAATACGAAAAATAACAAAAGATATCGATACTAAATTTAGGCTAATAATAATAATGCTCTAATTTCAGATGAATCTATAGTGTGCCTGTTGTGTTCTTATGAAGATTCGGGTCATAACGACTATTACGGGCCGGTCAATAACTGTTCTTTTATTGGGTTAAGATACAACAGTTTGATGACCACTGCTCGTGGTTTGGCCACGAGGATGACGTCAATTTTGATCCCACACGTAGTAAGATCACGTCACGTGGGCACGTCACGTGGGCACGTGACGTGCCCACGTGATATATATATATATATATATATATATATATATATATATATATATATATATATATATATATATATGTCGTACCTAATAGCCAGAACTCACTTTTCAGCCTACTATTCAAGGCCCGATTTGCCTAATAAGCCAAGTTTTCCTGAATTAATATATTTACTATAATTTTTTTCTTATGAAATGATAAAGCAACCCTTTTCTCTATGTATGAGGTAAATTTTTTTTTATTGGAGTTAAAATTAACGTAGATATATGAACGAATCTAACCAACCCTACCTAACCTAACCTAACCTATATTTATAGGTAAGGTTAGGTTAGGTAGCCAAAAAAAGCTAGGTTAGGTTAGGTTAGGTAGGTTAGGTAGACGAAAAAACATTAATTCATGAAAACTTGGCTTATTAGGCAAATCGGGCCTTGAATAGTAGGCTGAGAAGTGCGTTCTGGCTATTAGGTACGACATATATATATATATATATATATATATATATATATATATATATATATATATATATATATGCTAAAGTAGGTCTAAGATATAGTATATTAAGCCACGGATACATCATGAGAGGTTCTTTGACAACGTGTCCATTTTCAGTAGGCTATCTGGACTAATTTATTAATACAAAACATGAACTTTTTTGGGGTGTTCCAACGATCCATTTCTACGTAAGTCTGACCATAAAGATGCTCTAAGTTCTCTCATTGTTGGAGAATGGGCTGTAGGGGTAACCATTTAAAAAATGAAAAAACTAGAAACGATTGTGAGAAATGGTATTTATATATACCCTTCCCACCCGTGTCTCTTTCCTTAAACTAAGTAGGGGAGTAGAAACAGCCTAAGCTACTCTATCCCTTTGAGATTTTTGAGCTACTTGAGGATTTGAGCTTTCTTGGAGTATTTTTTCCTTGTATCAATAAACATACTTGAACTTGAACTAAGACTAAGGGAGTAAATATGCAGTCCGTCCTCTCGAGCATTCACAACGTCACATAACTGATGTCCTAAATTACCCGAATCTAACCTAACGAGGACCCGTAATAGAAAACTATACCTCACGTTTTCTATTCAATGGCAAAAAAAAAAGTTTTTTTGCTCAGCAGTTTTTGGCCTTAGGAGATTTCCACATCAAAATGCGATGTATTATTTGTCTTTGGCGTTCCTAAGCGGCTACTGCAAGCTGACATCTGTTATTCTCTCTCTCTCTCTCTTTCTTTATCTGTCTGACTGTCACTCTCTCTCTCAATCTCTATTTCTGTTTATTTATATCTCTCTTTCGCAGCCTCATATCAAATTTATCTCCAAGGTTTAAAGTGCCGCAGGATCGGCCACCACTTTGTGTCGACCTTGTGATTTAGAGAGCGGGGCGAGGGGGGGGACTGGTCTGGTGAGGGGAGACCTCCTTATACAAGTAGGAAATGTTGAAGTGGAGGTCACTTGGCCATTTTTCTCTCTGGGTAAGATGTTTCCATTTGAATATTCTGCCTATAAAGATAAAATACATCACTCGGGGACCTCACGCTTCGCCAATCTCTTGCTAGCACATCTGGTCAGGGGAGAATCGAGGATATGATTGGTCGATTTAGCGAGAGTGTTGTGACGTTTCAACTTGTGATTGGTCGAGTGGCAGGCGTGTAGTAACGTGTCTGTTCCCGATTACCTGTCAGGGCCAAATGGAAGCTACCCGTTTAAGAAAAAATATAACAGGCAGCGAGGGGTCATTGGCGCTGAAATATGTTGTTTCTGAAACCATATAATAAGGAAACTTATTCAAACAAAATAAAGAACCGGCAGCTTTAATAACTGACTTTTAGTGGATAATAAAGCTTCTCTTTCTGCGATAAGTAATATCATTATGGCGAGGATGGTTGTTCCGACAGGCGCTTACCTAAGTAGTGAAGATATTGAATACAAGAAACTATTTAGAGCTGCTGTGGCGATGATGTCTCTTGCGAGACTAACACGAGGTGAACTGTGTTCGTCTTCGCGCGTGTTTTCACTTATATGTGTTTAGGAGGTTGAGGTCCAGCCTCTAGAACAGCCAATTAACATTTAACCGACTGATGTGTTTGTTTCTAAGACCCTCCTTGGGTGCCGACTTGGAATCCGACTCTGTAATCTGTCTCAATTGCCGCTTCGAATCCATTTCATCGCATTTCATCCATACTACATCAGTACTTTTTTTTTTAAGTCTTTCTTCCATCCGCACTACATGAGAACTTTCTTATGTCTTTGTTTTTTCCATCTCTTTTGACCCGCACTACATCAGTACTTTCTTATATGTGTCATTTCACTGTAAATTTATATTTTAATTTAATTTATTTTATTTTATTTTAAGTTGACATAATAAATCCATAACAGCCTTTCACACTCACACTTCTTACCCCTGTGGAAACCCTTGGAATAATTTTCATGTTTCAAGGAACCCTTACATAAAGTTGTGTATAATATATACATTTATTATTCTTAAAAATATATATTAATCACAAAAAAAAATTGACCCTTGAAAAAGCATAAAATATCATCATAGTCTTGACCCACATATATGACCAAATATGTGGGTCATCAAGAAATTTGCTATTTTAATGTGAAACCTCTCCTTCTCTTTTGGTACACAAATACTTAATTTGGCGTTGAACTTTAAATAGACATACACGGTTTCAATTTTTTATGGAAAGATGAACATTTCTGTCTGCTCTTTCTTTGAATATCATTAGCATTAGCCTATTTATCACTATCTCTTGCGGAACCTCTAGTGGCCTCTCGTGGAACCCTAGGACTCCGGAGGAACCCCAGCTGGGAACCGCTGCTCTAGATATTGATAGGCATTTAAACCCAATTCTAGAGGTCTACCTCGTTTCCCGTTCAATATACGCTACCTTAATTTTAGACCTAGACTATGTTCAGGTCTAAAATCGTCTTGCTACTTGGTAAGCTATTGTGATGGCGTTAATAACTCTCCAGAGGTTGATAGGCCTTAAGTCTAACCCCAGACAAAACTCAATAGGGGAATATATCCGAGAAGTATATATATATATATATATATATATATATATATATATATATATTGTGACGATAATCTCCTTCAAGAGATTGAGCCTGCTCTTCCCTCCATAATTACGTCTTCACAATTATATAAAAGACTATGGAAGAAATGTCCAACAACGACAACTGACACCAGCAAGGCTTGCCAGGGTGAGCAAAACGTATACAGCCAGCCACCTGTTCGGACCCAAATCACCAAACTACATGTTGATCGCTGCCGGCTGCGCTGATTGGTCGCCGGTCTGGCTGCACCTGTACTCGCCCCCAATACTACCTGATGTCTGGGGTCGCCCCAACATCAGTCCTCAGAATGTTCAGTGCTTTCGTAGCCAGCACTCCTCCCAGCTAGACGTTAGCGTGTACTGAGAGAGGTGGTGGCTTTAAGCCAATATTCCAGCACCTCCCACTTACCTTTGTGTTGCACTTCTTGTTATTTTGCCTTAACGTAACTTTTCATTGTGTCATTTAAGTATTCTTATTATTTTGATTGATTGATTTTATTATACATATTTGTTTGTGCATTATTTCATGTTTTGATTTATTTAACGTAATTAAAATTTCATTGTTAAAGTTTACTTGTGTTTTGTGTGTCTTCTCCTTACCTTACCACAGACGAAGTTCCAGTTTTTCTATTTTTTTTTATAACTATGTGACGAGGCCATACCCCTAGCCTTAAACAGCCGAACACCAACGCGTTACCGTCACAAGTTATATGGGGGCCTGTCCTAGGAGCTTCACTCAGGTACTGGTGCCAAGTGGTAATGTATGGTA